AAGCCCTATCATGCTTTGTTTTACTTAATCCTCACAGCCAGTAGTTCCCCAAACTCAGCATCAAACTACCTGAAGGCTTGTGGAAACACAAACTGTTTCAGATTCACTAGGGGGCTGAGAGTTCGCATTTCCAATAAATTCCTTAGGTGATGCTGACATTGCTGGTCGGGGGACCATGTTTTGAGACCTACTGCTTGCCACACACCTAGGAGGCAGGTATTTCAATCTGTGTTTTGCAGGTGAAGACACAGGAATTGAAGTTAAATCATCTGGTCAACCCACAGCTAATCATTAGCAAAGTGGGGATTTGAAAATTTGCTTCTTTGATTTCAGTATGATTCTGTCTGGGCAGAGGAATATTTTATAGCCGAGAGGATTCTTATTGCTCTCAACATCAAGGTTCAAATATGATAAAAAGTGTGGATGTTGTGAGATGGTTGTGATCAAAGCCAGACTGTTGGATAGAATAATACGGCCCCTAGAAGGAACTTACGGTGAAGGTAGAAGTAGACTAGACTGGTGAGCAGCTTCCCCACACCGGAGGCTACGGGATGAAGGGGAGCCTTGGTTCCAGGTCTGCACAGTGTCCAGTACTGGAATTTGTCTTCCACCGCTGTCCTCATCGGGACGTGTTCCTGAAAGAATTGGCTGTGTGTGTAAACGGGAAAAGCCCCTCACGTAGGGGGTTGTGCTCTGAGAGACCCTCAGCTGAGCGTAAGAGGGAGGGAGGAAATGACGTCTCCTGATGCCGCAGTGCCCTGATTCCCTCTGTCCGAAGGAGCCGTGATCCAGGCACTGGGGACTGTAGATGGCACCGAGGAAGGGGTGGGTTAGGGTTAGCGAGAAGCACAGGTGTCTGGGGAAGATCCCTGTCCCCGGGAGGTGGTAGATCCCCATGAGACTGTAGGAGAGGAAAATAATTCTATCATGTAATTACTATAAGACTTTGAGTCATAGTGAGCGACCTTGCTGCCTGTAATTAAACTGCATTTATTAAAACAGCATTCCATACCCACCTGTGTAGAATGCTGCATCAGAGACCAGCGGTGACTCCCGCTTTTAACCGGTTTACAGCCTGCTACACCCAGCCTCACTGGCAGTGGCCACGGCAACTGGGGTGGCAGTGTGGGAGGGGAGGAGGCCAAGCTGTCCTGGAGTGAGGCAGGAGGGTGGCCCTTGAGTTTCCTCTCCATCAGTAGGTAGGAGGGGGAGAATTGGTTTGTGGACATAAGTATCCCTGGAGATTGTTAGTCAATTGTAGGGAAGGAGAATCCTTCACTTCCTCGTGATCTGACAAAGGAAGCCTCAGAGCCATTGTATTTCAGGGTGTTCAAGGGAGGCATTTTGTGCTCATTTGTACTCCCAGGGTGATGAACACTGCAATGCAGCCGTCATGTCCCATTTAATCCTGAATCAGGGCCAGAGGCGTAGTCTCCTAAGTCAGCTGTGCTTTGGCGCGCGTGTCTTCAGTGTCCGCTGTAGTGCGCGGCCCTCTGCTGAGAACCAGCGTGGTTCTCTGTGTGAGCAGTTTGAAGTCTCATCACACTTTGCTTCCTTCTCTGCTTTGGCTGCCAGACCCCGAGTCAGACCTGGCGCTCACGCGTAGCGACTGAGCAAGATTGGTCGTGCATTTTTGGGCTGTTTTATCATTTTTCCTTTGCACATGTACCTTTCCCCTGTGATATGGTATATCTTTTTCTAACTATCTATCTTTTTTGAAAGAAGAAAGAGGAAGTATGTCCAAAAATGTAAAAAAGGAAGGCTGGAAAAGAGGTAGAGAGGAGAAAGGAAGGAAAGTTAACCCTTTTTACAGACATTTACATAGAACAGCTTTAACAATGTAAATAGCCCAATCCTGACTTTATAGAGGTGCCTGATCCTAAATTAACTTGGAGTATAACTATAACCAGCAAAAAAGTCCATCCCCTAATAAATTACTGTTCTGCAAAATACAAGTCAGTGATGAGCACTGTGTGAAACGAACCAGGGTCAACGGGAGGTAATGATGAGGGGCTGGGATTTACTTGCCATGAGAAGCAAACGTGTGTTTTCTATCACATTGCTGTCCAAAAGGGGCTGTTTCTTAAGGGCAACACACAATACAGCACCAAGTCTGAATCATTAATAGATGGTTGGTAGAAATCAGAATGCTGCAAGCAGCTACGGGAATCGCTGCAACTCCTTTCAGTATACTAGCAGTCAGGGGACACAAAGTTCCTGTCCTTGAGCTCTGCTAGGTTAGCAATTGCAATTCAAATGTATAAATGTATATGTTCATGAATAATTAATTCTGCCTGAGGGGGTCCAGGTTACCTTCAGAGAGGAGCTTTTGAGCTTACTCTGAAGAGAGGAAATGCATACAGAAGGCAAGGAAGCGTCAAGTGGGCGGATGTCTGGGACTGCCCATTATAGCTCGTTTCTCTAGAACGTGGGACTAGACAGAAACACGTGCCCTAAACCATAGTCATCAGGCTTCCAGAGAAGTTGCTTAGTATAGTATCCCATCTTTTTTCACCTCTTAGTCACTTAATTTGTTTATTCTCACAAACCTGAAGCCTTCCTTATTTTCAGCCCTTTGAAGTTCTTACTACTCACTTTTTATTGGCTGAGTAGTTCCGAGTTAGAATCAACAAACCAGATGCTAATAGAAACTTAGCAGCGTTCATCCCAATGTAGAAATGGGTTTGTATCTGGGGTTTTGTCTATCATTGATAGCTGGTAAGCCTGAACGTCTATCTTTTGGAAGTACTGCTGAGCAAATGTTAGAATTCGGATACTTCTCTGAACAAGCTTCTTTCATAGTGGACGAATCCATTATGTTCTCTGGTTCTGGAGATGCTATTGGGACTTAGCTAATCACTATTTCCATGACTGAGCTGAGCCCCAAGTCAGGCCCTCACAGTCAGAGACAAGCCCCCCAAAGCACAAAGGTCCGCTGTGGGCCGATGCAGACAATTTCAATGCCAAGGGGGAGGTTTGGCATGACTGACACACCCAGCTGACCATTTCAGAACGATGACCACTTTGATATACTACCATAAAAGCATACTAGTTGAATTCTTCCATTAGCCACCTTGTTGGAGAGTTTTGTCTGGTTAGTTTAATTCTGGAGTGTGGAAAGATGAGACACAATCTTGAAGAACTATATTTTTCAGGTCCAGGATGTAGGAGGCACTGTCCATTTATTGGGACAGCTCCCAAGGCAGATTTCACTTGGCAATGGCAATGGCATTTACTCCAGAGGCTGATAATAGAAACTGCTCTAACATACTAACCTTTTCAACCCTAAGTTATTACCTACTAGGTGCCAGGCACTGTGTCCATAACATGGCTAACCTTTTCAACCCTACAAGGTAGGCTTATGATATTCTTTCCAGAGATAAGCAAACAGGCTCAAAGAGGCTGACTGACACGAAGCCAGAAACCAAGTGGGAAAGCCAGTGTTCTGCCTGCCCTCCAAAATTCCTCCTTGCCCTATTATGGCCACACTCCCCCAAACCAACAGTCAGCCTGCATCAAAATTACAAGATTTAAGATTGTACTCGTACTATTTCAGCAGAAGTCAGAAAGGTGCTAGTGCTTCCAGGAAACTGAATAAAAGAGGCAAGCTAATAATACAAACATTCCCAAAGACAAAATACAAAATTGAGGCAGACCAGTAAACCATGTCGTGTCAGAATGATTTATGATTGATCTCGGTTTTAATTTTGCAGGGTCTTTTTATCTTACTGGTAGCCTTTATTTTTAAACAGAAGGCTGTAAGAACATTCAATTGGAAGCCCTTCAAAAAGAAGCAATTTCATACACTGCTGATAAAAGTGTAAGTTGATGAGTTTCCTAGGGGGTCAAAGTGGCAGTAACAAGTGCTTTTAAAAACTGGCATACTGTCTGCACTAGCAATTCCACATCCATCTTAAGGAAATATTAAGAACACGTAAAAGATTAGTAACACAATGTTCTTTAAAGCAGTTTATTAGTGAAAAATTAGAAACAAACTGGAAATCAACAGTTTAATAAAATGTGGCACATATGACGGAATACCATGCAGCCCTTAAGAACGATGCAGTAATACATTGGACACGGCAGGAGTCATGGTGTTGTCAAGTGAAAAAGTTACAAAACAGTATGTACAATTTGATCCCACTTAAAAAACCTATAAAAGCATGGAAAAGTCTGGAAAGTTATACACCTAAATAACAGTTCTCCCTGAATGGTGGTATTATAGGTGATTTTTACCTTTTAAACTATATTTTCATGTTTTTTCCTTTTTACCAACACATCTGACTTGTATTATTAAGCATTAACAATTCTTTAACAAGTGTCTTTTGAAGTGGAATTAGAGCAGAACTTAGTAACCAGAGTCACAGGGACATACACGTCAGCCTGATGCCACTTGAATGGTTTGTCAGGGTGCTTTGATGTCAAATTGTCACTGTACTGAGTGGAAATGTGGGTGGTAGAGCTTACCCTTCTTCAGACCATTCTAGTACCCCCCCCCAATCAAGTACTGGCATTCCAACCAATACTTCCCGAACACTTGGCTAACCACACCCTCTGCCTTCAACCCACTCACAGCCCAGCAAGGCTCCCCTGCAGTTAAGACAGCATTGCTGTTGGTGCAGGGCGGAAGGCAGCCATCTCTCAGGTCACGCCAGATGATAGGTCTGAAGGTGAGGGCACGTTTGCTTTGTTCTACTGAAGTGGCTCTCTACCTTCACAGTGGAACAATCACCCATATGGTTTGTAAAAACAGACTGCTAGGTCCTACACCCAGAGTCTGATTCAGTAAAGCTCAGAAAAGGCTTAGGAATAGCTTTTTTTTTTTTTCACTCAACAAATATTTATTGAGTCCATACTATGTCCTAGGTCTCATGCTAATAAGTGTGATCAAAAGATTTATGATCTGTATCTCAGAATGCCTACATTCTGAAGTGATCAATATACACTAAACAAATAAATTATAAAAGTAACTATATAATTATAATTTTGATTAATGCTAGAACAGGGTAAAGACAATTTTTGTCTTAAAATATTTAAAAAAATGTTACATGAAGAACTATGACTAGTTCTACAGCCCCTTGAAGACCAAAAAAGAAAGAAAAAAAAATCAAGGTAGAAAGTACTCAGAAACATGAATGAGCATTTCTAACGAGTTCCCAGGTGATGCTGCTGTTGCCCGTCCTGGGGTCTCACACTGAGGACTCGGCCCTGCTGAGCAGACGTTCTAATTAGGACACTGGGAAAAGGGCTGGTTGCTCTGAATATCCCTCCTCCTCTTCTGAGTGTCATGAGGTGGAGAGGCTGAGACAAAGCTGGCTGCAGGTCAAACTTGAAAACCATCTATCTATAATGGCTCCTCATCCAGGCTTGACGTGCTACATACTAGGGCTACATATTTCATAATTTCAGGCATTTGGGAGGCACAGTAAATGTTTTAGGAATTCTGTCAGCTTCTTGTCCAGCACTCCATCACCTCCCCCACAGTTCATCTCAGAAATGTTCTCCCAACACCAGCTCCTACATTCACCTTCTGTCCGCTTATTTGGGTGGAGGGTAACAGCAGACTGTGAGGATGGACTCTAACCCACGGATTCAGGTTCTTATTGCTCGTTACCCGGGGTGAGGCACATTCCCATTGCAGACCGAACCTACAATATGAATTCTTCTAATTAGCACCACAAAAATGATTTAACACCACAGCCTTTTAGGTTAGATTACTGTGAGGACAAATGTAGAGAATCCAATCACTTATTTTGCTGTGTGTAAAAGAGCCTACAGTTACTCCCTTTACTTTATTCGTATGTGTCCTTCACATGTTACTATACCTAACCTCGGGGGCACAGAGTTTATTTAAATAATTCTGAATTGCACCATGAATTAATAGGCTTCCCAAGCTTTTCTTTCAGGCCTAAGAACCTTTATGGGCCTTTACCTGAGTAAAACTTAAACCTATGACTTTATAAAATAAGCCACAACCAAAATAAAACCAACCAAAAAAAAACCCCAACCAACCAATCGCACAAAACCCAACTAAAATAAAAAGCAATAAAAAGAAAAACAAATCCACGTGTGGTAGATTTGTGGTAGACAAAGGCACAAGGAGCCTTTGAACCGTAACATTATTAAAGGCTAATGTACATTACTGGGTTACTATAATCAATATTCATTTAGAAGGCGGAAGATTCTGATAAAAGTTTACAGACTGTGGTGAGGTTAAACCTGGATCTGATTTAAAGAGGGTGGAGGACAGGAGTAGAACAGAGCAGATCATGTGTATAAAAGAGGTATCTCTGGTACAGTCATAAACGAGGTCTTACAGTCTCTGCAGGTCAGGAAGCTCCTTGTAGCTAATGAGGGGAAACTGGTATTTAGAGAATGTTTCTATTACATGCCAAAACTTCCCTAAAAATTGCCTAACATGCAAGATAATCATCATCTTAAGGCAGCACAATTATCTCCATTTTACTAATAAGGAAATGACAGTTTATGCATCATCTGAGTCGAAGTTCAAACAGCACAGTGAGACTGGATTTGAATCCAGGACCATTCCATTCCAGTGTCCATAGTCTTTCCCCTTTACCACGCTTCCTATAAACCTTATTTATAGTTGCTGTTTAAGTTGACCTGAATTTCTTTGTATGACCTTTAAAGCCTAAATCTTGACTTCTATAACCTAATAGATATTACTCTAGGCTGTCTGTAGAACTTCCTTTCAGGGGGGAAAAAAGTTTTGCTCACTTGGTTCTACAGCTAACCAGCCTGAGTAGTTTTGGGGGTTAAGAGTATGGCGATTCACAGTGTAAATCAAAGCGACCTGTACAACTTTAAAACGTAGAGGAATATGTCTCATAGCACCGAAATTAAAGGGTAAAAACTGTTGAAGTTTAGACTGTGAGCTAAATTATCAACATGTTTACCATTTTCAAATATCCTTTTGTGTTAAGTATTTATCATTTTTTAAAGTACCAAAAATATCATTTTGATACATTAACATTCCCTGAAGAAATGGCTACACCTTTGCACTTCACCTGTAAGTCAGCCTGAACTACTTTGTTGTCAGCATGAGCTATGTACGCTCTTTTGGCTCCAGGCCTTTTCCCAGCTGAAGCACTTCCTCTTCAAACCAGCTCCCACATACCAAATGAGAAATCAGGTGACCCCAAAGCCCCGAGACACAGTACCCTGTATTTCTTCTATCATGACACTGACACTGATTCTGCATCTTGTTCAGGGTAGTATCCCCAGATGATCAACACAGTACCAGGACCTCAACAAATGCTTAATGAATGAATGAAGAAGACAGCAGAAGTTCTAACATGGAAACAATCTGTTGACTCAACAATGATCCGCATAACAATTTTCTGACTCAAAATGTGTCACTAATGATTTCATTAGTGTGTGTTTCATAACAACAGATCTCGATCAAGATGACCTAAGTTCATTAAGACATTTTCAAAATTTTATTAGTAGGCTCAGAGTAACCAAAAGTGGATTGTTTGTATATACTTTACTGTGATGAACGTAGCTGCACTAGTCTGTATTTCTATAAAGATTTGTTGCTCATTAACAACAAAGTCTCTTCACTGTACTGCAGTATGTTCTTAATGAGTCCAATTCTGATATGCATTAAACTGTGCCAACTGAACAATCTTAAAACATTGCTTAGTGAACTGAACTTGTCACAGATGTTTCAGAACCTTCACTGCAAACATACCAGAGAAATATGATAGTACTTTTAAAGACTAGTTTTTCTTAAATTTAAAAGAAATCATTCAGTAGTGTTTAATAAACATTCCTTACCCCAAATAACCCATTAAAATATGGTACTGAAATCATTCAATTTCTGTTGGAAAACAAGGTAAACATGGTATAACTGCATTTCTGTTCATGAAAACATTCAAAAACATATTCTTCACAAAAGAGGTTTATATCCTAGATCTTTTTAAAACCAACAGTTAAAATCAAATTTTAATTTTATTCTTTGGCTATACCTAATAAATGAGTCACTGGTATCAATCCACAATAAATTTATTTTACATAAAAGAAAAAGCTTGCCATTAATGAAAATTTCAGTAGAAAACAGTTCTCCTGCTTTAAGTTGGGGCTCAAAAGTAGAAGCTGCTTATTATTAGTGAAACCTCAGTAGAAAGAGAATTTTGTAAGAAAACATTCTTGGCATGAAAGCTCTAACATAAATTCTGTAATGAAATAGTTACCATGCAATTTTATTGGCAGAAAGCTGGTTTCTGATGGCTGGTATTTTCTTTTCAGTCTCTTTAAGACATTAACATGGAAGATACTAAACTTGCTGTATTTAGAGTTAATTGTATATAAATACGGTGTCATGATGGATAATCTTTCCATAGTCCACCTATTTAATTGAGCAGTTCTAAGTAGGTAATTGGCACCCTGCCCTTCTGATTTCCTCTCTCCCCCATTAGCCAGTCTGAATCCATTCCAACGACACTGAACACAGTGATCACCTACAAAATAAAAATACTTTCAGTTACTATGTTAAAAAATAAACACATTAGAAAACTAATCAGATTTGTATTTATTCACTATCAAAGCACTTTAAACATAATTGTCAATTTTGCTGAAAGTTAAAGGATTTTGTTAGAGGCAGTTTTAGAAACCTTCTAGTTATTTAGCAGTCAAAAGCTTTAACTATTTCTGAGATGTTATTTTGTTAAAGCATAGTAGTTAAAATTCTATAGAATGTTATTATAATCATCTGAAATCTATGAAAGCATTCATGATAAACTATTTCCACATAGGTAACGAGGAATTTGCATTTTGTTACAATACCAGAAGCTATGTCAATCTATGACACAGTTTCTTCTTACACCCACCTACTTACCTCATCTGCCAGAAGTGATAATTCAGTACTGTTTGCAGCATCATAATCGTATAGAACCCTGGCCTTCCTGCTGCCACTGCCCTCCTTAAGGTCAATAAGGTTGGAAGGAGAGGTCATTACTAGGCCACTTGTTGAAGTCAAGGCAGAAGAACCAATTATATTTGATGAAGCAGATGGTACAGGTGGCACAGAAGTTTGATTGTTGTTACAATGATAATTGGATGGAAAACTGTTGGGGGAAAAAAAAGGCTAATTACCTATTTCCAAGTGACCAAAGCTCCTGAATACCACCACTTGATGGCAGTGTTTACTTTCTACCAACCTCCACTGTGAATCAAGATTTACAGATGTTAATAATATTTTAATGACAGAATGTGCTGTCTAGTTCACCCTTCTTGCAGTAATTCTTGACTCCTCTAAGCCTCATACACATGAATTCTGTCAACAAATCCTACTGGCTCTACGTCTAAAATACACACCCAGGGTCTGACCACTTCTACCCCATCTACCACAATCACCCTGACCCAAGCCTCCATCACCTCCTGAGTGACTAAATCATTCCAAAAGGTTCCAAACAAGTCCATCAGATTCCATTCCATGCCCTCCAACACCTATCCTCAACAGAGCAGCAAGAACGATCCTGTAAAAAGCTCAAATCAAATCATTTCACTCTTAGCCCTGGCCAATTTGGCTCAATGGTCCAAGCATCAGCCTGCGAATCAAAGATTTGCAGGTTTGATTCCGGTCAAGGGCATGTTGCAGTTTGATCTCTGGTTGGGGTCCTGCAGGAGAGGCAGCCAATTGATGTGTCTTTCTCACATCGATGTTTCCTTCTTTCTCCCTCTCTTTCCCTCCCACTCTATCTGAAAATCAATGGAAAAATATCCTTGAGTGTAGATTTAAAAAAAAAAAAAAAAAGTAACTAGCTCAAAACCCTCCAAAGGGTCCTCATCTCTGAGTAATGGCCTAAGTCCAAACAGTGGCTTCCAAAGCCCTGTGTTCCAGCTGTCTCCTCGATTCATCTCCACCCAAGCCCTCCTTGTTGTTGCCTGAATATAACAGCTATGTTCCTGCTTCAGAGTTTGTGTACTTGCTGTAACCCTCCTGCAGCATCTTCCCTCAGATGCTGCATACTTTGCTTTCTTCTATCTTCTAAGTCTCTGTCTTTCCTGATTACTGCAAACCTACCCCTAACCAAGGTACTACCTTGCTATATTTTTTCCTATAGCATTTATCATCTTCTAATATACTACATAATTCATATATATATGTGTGTGTATATATATATGTATGTGTACACACACACACACACACACACTGATTTTCTACTCTCCAAGAAGGAAGGAATTTGGTCTGTTTTGTTTATATTATATACTTATGCTTAGAATAGTGCATTTAAAAAAATTAAAAGCAAGTATTTCTTTGACGAATAAAAGGATTTTAATGATAAAAGGAATGCATTTCTAATTCAGGTTTTCCTGTAAAGAATACATTTCCTAGCATGCCTTCCTAAGTGAACTCACTCCTCAAAAGTGATTAAATATACACGTTTCTGAAGACAGAAATTAAGCCCTCTCTCCTCACACATGGGGTTTTAAAAGTCTCTAACCATGAAATTTTACTTTCAAATTTACTAGTGGTTTAGCCTTTGTTTAGCTGCTAAGTTCTATCTATGCCAATTTTTGGAAATTAATGGAAAATCAAACAAACAAACAATCACAAAAAACACTAACCATCCAAAAAACCTGAAAGGCCATTTTTACCTTCTAAGAACATGTATTACTAACACATTAAAAAAACTACAGACTTCCTGGTGTAACTTGATATGTTAAAACCTCCCAAGTATTTAAGAGTAAAATACATTTACTAATCTTGTGACTAGTGCTTCTGTTTTCTCTCCTGTAAAATGTAGATATAACAGTACCTACCTCAGTGGTGTGAGGATGGTAACATCATTACATAGGAGGTGTCTAAAAGAGAGCCTGGGGACACAGGCCCTTCCTGAGTGACTGCTGTTAGTCAGTTACTACTACAAACAACAATGCTACTTTAGCCATTAACATAATCTGGTTCTGCTCTTCAGAAACAACTTTTGAATTTGTTACTGTGGATCTGGATGATTTTTAAGTTCTGCGTTTGAATATTTTAATATTCTGTCTTGAAAAGGATAACCTGTAACAAATTAAAGGCCTAAAATTTCTCCCGGTCTCTATCATTGGTCATTACCAGTAATAATAGTCTTTGAGGGCAGAGAGACAGCTACACATTCTTTCCCAGAATAATAGCACTAGTTTCACATTGTAATGTCGGAGCTTATCTTAAAGTGCAGCAATAACCAGTTTTGTTTGAATGGCTGAGTTTGTGTGGCCTTAAGCAGAAAGCAGGTATGAATAGTAACAATAGCAACCCCTTTGATGCACTCCCAGAGTATTAGGACAAAGAGAATAGGAAGCACTAAAGCTTTTCAGGCTTAAAATGGTTGTAAATATGTGGGGAAGAAAGTGGTATTCTGCTTTCAGATATTAATGCCACTAACAAAACCTCAAATATAATAGTAAACCCTTCTGCAAATCCTATTAGAATAACTAATGGTATTAGGCTACAGCTAATTTTTAAAAAAATATATATATTATCCTCACCTGAGGACATTTTTGCATTTATTTTCAGATAGAGGAGGAGGGAGAGAGAGAGAGAAACATCGACATGACAGAGCCACATTGAGTGGCCACCACCCACACTACCCTAACCAGGGCCAGGGATAAACTGCAACCAAGGTACGTGCTCTTAGCGGGAACCGAACCCAGGTCTCTCTGGTCCGTGGTCCGACACTCTAACTGCTGAGCCAAACTGGCCAGGGCTACAACTAATTTTAAGATCTAAAATTGGTTTTGTAAATGTGCTTAATTTTTATCTAAGTCTAATTTTGAAAGATTAATATGAGAAAGGAACATTAAAGTGATGAGGGCATTTTTTGCCTTATTCTTTGAATAACTTTTCTTGATATTCCTCCTTCAAATGTTATACATCATTTCCCTGCTTTCATAGTTTCTCACTGTATAAATCTTAAACTCTTTACCACTTATAAGGCAGAGCTCAGTGGTTAAACAAAGGGCACTCATAACATGACCCTGCTTCACTCTTCTAGCCTCTTCTACATCCCGTTCTTAACTTGAACATCACGCTCCAACCAGAATAAACTACTCTTGGTTCCCTGACCTCGTCACACTCCCCTTCCTCTGGCCCTTTTATACACATACAGAGTGGGCAAAAGTAGCTAACAGTTTTGAGTACGCAGAACAGTTTATTGGTATATTATTATTATCGTATTATTTTCCATCTACTTTTACCCTCCCCTGTATTCTTCTTTTGCCTGGAATATACATTCCTGTCCCTTTGTTTATCCAGATTATTCCTACGAAAATAATTTAATCTGTGATACTCTGCTAAACCCACCCGAGTCATAGTTAGATGTCCCTCACTGTAACCTGTACTTCTACCTTGCCACGTATCACATGGCCTGTCCACCCATGTCCTGTGTCGTGAGAGCAGAGACCATGTTTGTCTTGTACATCATTTTATTTCGTGTCACATTACAACATAAAGAGCTGCGTAAGGGTAAGCAATTTTGACATATAATACTAAATTTGCTCATATATTACTAAAGTATAAAACAGTTCAATAATATTTAAACTTTAAATATTGAATGAATATTTGGCAGGTATTCAATAAGTATCTAAATAAATGACAGCCTATATGTTTTATTATTTTGCATTAAAGTATATCAGCACACTCAAATAATATCAATGGGCTTAAAATCTTACATAATATTCTAAAACCATTTTGTGTTTTTTTTTTAAACAACAGTGAACAAGTAAGTAATGAATAAGTATTAATTTGTTTATCTCTAGGGGCAGCTGTCAATTTACTTATCTCCTTCAATCAACTGCAAAGATACTCAAGAGAAAAGTGAACTTCAAACATTTTTAAAGCTTTCTTTATACGGCACTAAAAAGGTATTCACTTAAATTATCCTCTCATCCATTAACATTCTTCTGTGCCAGAAGAGCTCAAAATGTTTTTATAACCTCAGAAGTCTGATACTTATTTTTCTTTTAAAAAATCTGATGTTAACCAAGCTAATAAAAGCCTTAATTTTTCTAATCTTCGCCTCTATTATTAGTTTATATGCAAAAACTTAATTTCTTCTGGAATTTCATGTGTGAAAAGGAAATTACCACCTTCCCAGTTGTTTCTGGAGGTCTAACATGTACTGGTAACATTGTGCATAGTAAGTCATCTGGGCTTCTACAAAGTCATTCAGACAGCGGAGGTGATGGGCCTGTAAAGGAAAGTTACAGTCACATCTTAGCTCTATAATCTACTCACACTGGTAAATCATAGAGGGAAACAGAATACAACACTGTACTCAGGGAGAATCACTGGAATCTAGCATCTTACTCTAAGGCTTACTAAGATTGACCTTGATCAACAGTGTATTAACTACTTAGCCAACAAAAACCAACAAATGGTTGTTTATGGTGGGAGAATTAGGTGATGAGGTGTAAACAAAAATTTAAAATATTTGTTCAAATATCTTAAAATGTTATCAGTTTAAATGTCCCTGATAAATGACTCAAAAGGAAGTTCAGGTTTATTCCCCAAACTGCTTTAGGACCATTAAAGTCTTTTGCTCCAAACAGATTTCCAGTAAGAGAACACTCACGTGTGTACTGCTGATTCCTTCTAGCAGAAGTCTGGTAATCTCTGCCTGACGATCGAATTCACTTTGAGTTATTCTTAATTCCTGTTCAGACTTAAATTGGGACATAGTTTTAATACCTCATTAAGAGGACTTAGTCCATTTCACATACACTCATGTTAAAAATATCCCCCAAACGTCAAATAAGAATCTGCCAATTCTCTGATTCTGCTTTGTATCTAAAGTGATCCCTCCCTGGTTCCTAGACATTAGTTTTTTTCTATATTACTCAATCTAGACAGAACCGATGCTTTCCCAGTACTTGACTCAAAACAATCTATTAACGCCAAAGTTAAATGGCATATACATAAAAGCCTAGAAAAACTACTATGGGACAATCAATATATTTCCAAGTATAGATTTTGCTAAATTTTACCATTTTATAAAATCTTAAAACCACCAGTTTACATGTACAAATATGTTTTTAAAAAACTCATTACTACAGGGACTTTACTTTGAAGTTAAAGACAACCTTGAATCTCAAACGAGCTACTTAGAAATGAAACCATAGGATTTTAGTCTCTTGTGTTTAGTTACCAAACTTATATTTGTTTCTACAAACATAGTTTTTAGCTTCCTTCAAAGGATTTTTTTTTCTACATAAATGTCTTTTACGTTTTCTTTCCAAACTTTGCATGAAATGTTTTAAGCAGAAATATTATCCATAAGATATACTAGGGTTTTTCTGCAAGTTATAGGTGACCTTTAATCAGTGGTGTGTTGGGGTAAACTAGCTTTCTGGGGGGGGGGGAGCACAAATGTATTGATTTTCATGGTATAAATACTCCAACAGCAATTGATTTCAAGCTACCAAGGTGACGTCCCTGAACTTGGAGCCTGAAAAGGTGTGTGTATAATAGTATATCACTCCTAGCTTCAACCACTGATACAGGTTTAGTGCAGAACAAAACAGAAAACAGTTCACCAAAAAAACAAACAAAAAAAACAAACAAAATCCATGATGTAAAAATAGTAAATACTGGCAAAAACCATCTTGTCAAACCTTTAACAAGAGTTGGTTGGTAGAAAGTGAGGAGGTCACTCAAATAGTTAGCTTTCTCTCATTGGGAATAATCATTGATAATAATATCATTATAATGATATTTTCGACCTCTCTAGAATAAATAGCTTCCCGCCCCCAGCTAAATAATTACAATACTTTCAAGACTGTAAAAAAGTACAGTTAAGTATAAAAACAAGCAAGTATAAAAATAAGGTCTGCAATTTTTCCTTTCATACCATCTCTTTCTCTTTCACCCTTGGTGGCAATAGTTAACCTAGTGAATCACTCCACAAGGAAGTAGCAGCAAAATAGAAAATAAGTTGCTATAATTACTGTCATTTTATTGGCAACAGGGATTAAGAATTGACCACTAGATTGGATTTATAGAAATAAGCTTAAATTACTCAATAAGTCAAGTGTTAAAATTAAATTTACTTGACTAAAACCAGAATGAATACATGGTGCTTTGATAACAGGGTTGAAGTAAGCCTCATTTGGAAGCTAGTAAGAAGTAGAAAAAAAGTCCCAGGAGAAGAATCAATGTTCTTCCTAAGAAAAAGATTAAAGAAAACCAATCACTTCAGTGTTACATTTGCACTATTTACTGTTCTATTTGCTTGAACGTGAAAAGTTTTGATTAACAGAAGTAAAAATAACAAACCAAAACAAAGTAAACGAGGCTAGTTCCATGTAGATCTTTGATTGTGCAAGTATAACTTATTTTTTAAATATGTTTTTATTAATTTTTTAGAGAGAAGAAGGGAGAGAGGTAGAAACATCAATATGAGAGAGAAACATTGCTCAGCTGCCTCTTGCACACTCCCTACTTGGGATCTAGTCTAAAACCCAGGTATGTACCCTGACTGGGAAAGGAACCAGGGCTCTCAGTCCATGGGACGACGATCAATCCACTAAACCACACCGGCTGGGCAAAATAATTGATTTAATAGCCCTTAGAAGAAATGGCAGAAAGCCCACGAAATGACAATACTTCTGTACAAGGTATAAGCAAGTATGCTAAGTAGAAGATTAAAAGTGGCCTGTAAGCTTGAGTCTGAAGTGGAAATAATGTGGTTTTTCTTTTCCTCTTTCAAATAATTTTAACTTGGCAGTGAGTTAAAATATGAAAAGAAGACTCAAATTTGTTCCCTTGAAGGGTGATGCTACCATTACTGCTTCGCACAAGCATGATCAAAGCAATGACGACGCTGGACTCCAAAGAGCAAGGGTGCCGAGAAGGCTTCAAGGCCCACAGATTGAAGAGCTTGGTTTCTGGGAGATCTCAGAGGGGTAGCAGCTGGCTGGACAGATATGAGATTTAAGAAACCTTCAGGGTACAGGGTGTGGTGGCTTGGTCATCAGCACGTTGAAATATTTTCTGATGATGATTTGGTGTTGAGATGTGGAAATAATGTTTTAAAGCTAAAACACGGAATAAAAAAGTATATAAAATGATCTTAAGAACAAGGGATCATCTTCCATGTTTGAGCAAAGTTTAATTAACTGTGAAGAAAGGTACCATGTTACACAGCTTAGGAAGTCATTCTTCTGTAAAATCTAGACTTTATATTTAGAAAAGTAAATGACAGGAAGTAAGCAAATCTCATTTTTTTTTAAAAACAAGTTTCAGTGTATGACTCGGGTAGTTGCAAACAGATTAAAGTCCTAAATCATTTCTACTTTGACACATATAACTGACCATAATAATTAATCTGAGAGGCTGAAGTTAACTGAAATTAGGTTCAACATAATCAATTTACTTAGGAAGAAAATGATCCATATTAGATAGGTAAAAAGGGTTTGAAGAAAGACAATAAACTTAAAGGGTTTTTATTCTGTCCTCCAGAAGAAATCATTCCCTGACTTACTTTGTATGTAGAGTTCTAGGGAAAAGACCTGCCACCTAGAATTACTATTACTGGGCTAACTGATCTAGAGTATATGATAGCATAGCTTGGATTAGGAAAGCAAGAAGAGTTCTTTTCAGATGTAACTTGGAAAGGGGCAAGAATTTGTTGGTCTGTGATATCAGCTAGATTTTTAGGTCATGCACTTGCTATGACAAACTTGGCCAGTGTTACTTTATCGTATGGGCTTAAATCTTAAAATATTCCAGAAATATAAATCTTCAAAATTAAACATTTTAAAATTGTGACAAAAGTGAGATTTATAGAGGAAAACTTCCCAGATCAATTTTGATATATATATTTTTACGTTCCTCTCATATATATATAAGTAATATAAATATCTGTTTCATGAATTGCTTCCCATTATATCAAATATTTCCCAAAGTTGTAGAGACTACAGAATCAAATAAAAAAAATTTGGTATACCTACATGCTACCCAAAGTGGAAGAGACTCTGGTTTTCTTGTTTAACCTATATTCTCTTCTATATTGCTCTGTCATCCTTTCATGCTAGAGGTTCAAAAATAAATCAGTGGCCAGGGTGAAACTATAACTAAATTGATGAAAAGATTCCACAAAGGAGATGGGAGCAAATTAATCACTGGATTTCCAAGTTACAGAATCAACAGCTCTATACACGGAACAGACTATATAGTCAGTGATGCTACAAAGTCAGAAAATAAAGTTAAAGTGTGTAAAACTATTAATAGTCAGGAGCCACCATTACTACCTGCCTTCAATCCTCAACAATGTCCTCATCTGAAGGTCAGATTTTGTACATGAAAAATGCTTTTCTGAAGACTTCCAATAGCATTTGAAACAAATCTGCACTAAATAGAGTCATAGTCCTATTTATTAAAATCTTGCTTATGTATGATTTTCCAGCCCAGAAAGATTAGAAATGGTAACAATCGGCTAGTAGCAGTCATATGGACAGCTTCTAAAAGTGACAATTTGGCACTAAGGGAGAAGACAACACACTTCAAAAACAAACAACAGATCCAATTTTTACACAGTACAATAATGAATATTCACATTAAAGACCCTAACTTTAATTAAACATATGCTATCCTATATTTAATGCACAGTGAAATACTTTCTAAAAAATATGTTTTTACTGATTTTTTTAGAGAGAGAAAGGAAGGGAGAGAAACATTAATGTGAGAGAGAAACATCGATCAGCTGGCTCCTGCACTGGGGACTGAGCCCAAAACCCGGTCTGTGCCCTAACTGGGAATCGAACCAGGACCTCTCAGTCTATGGGGTGATGCTCAATCCACTGAGCCACAACGGCTGGGTTGAAATACTTTTTTTTTTTTTTTATCCTCACCCGAGGACATTTTTTGTTCAGATAGAGTAGGAGGGAGAGAGAGAGAGAGAGAGAGAAACATCGATGTGAAAGGGACACATCGAGTGGCTGCCACCCGCACAACCAACCAGGGCCGGGGACAAACTGCAACCAAGGTACATGCCCTTAGCGGGAACCAAACCCGGGTCTCTCGGGACCGCAGGCTGATGCTCTAACCGCTGAGCCAAACCGGCCAGGGCTTGAAATACTTTTTTACAAATGTTTTCAACTAAAGTGACAAAAAAATTAGCTTTGGTGCTGGAGAGAACAAGCTTCATTTCTGTGACACACAACATTCAATTCTCTGAAGACAGAGAACATAGTGTTAACTCTATGTTACATAATTGCCATATGAATAAACAGGTATTTAAACTGTCTTCTGGCAAGGCACTGTAAAGATTGCCACTTAGTATAACAGGTGTCAATAGTGTGTGCAAACAATATCCTTGTTGGACTGTTCATGGCTCTGTGAACCTGAGTGTTCCATAATCATTTTCAGATTTTTTAAGATACTATAACAAAGACTGTGACTGGTCCCACAGTTATTGCCCAATGTTTTCTGAGTGAATGACAAATAAATTTTTGTTTCATAATTCTGTAGTTTAATAATTTACTTACTTTTGTCACTTCCTCTGCCCAAATCTAGCCAGCATTAAAAATCAGAGAAAAATATACAGCATGAAAGAAAGTTGGAATTGAACATTTTCTACAACTTAGTATAGAGAAATACAAATATTTTAATTCAAATGGCATACTCCTTTTCCAGAATCACATTAGCAGATTAAATACAGTAGTAACTAAATAGTACAGCTTAACATACTGTGAAAGTATGCCTTCATATGTATAATACTATCAACTTTTGAATCTTATACTAATTCTATAAATTAATAAGAATAACAGTTTTCTAAAACTGGGATTATTTAACCCTTCTTAGTTCTGTTTTCTCATCTGTAAAATGAGAAGTTTGAACCAAATGATTTCTAATTTCTCATTAGTCCTAAAATTCTACAATTTTAGGAAATTAAAATAAAGCAAAGATAATGGACACTGAACATTGATACAGTCATTGGGATGGGGGGTGGCCAATAAACTAGAGATATAATGAGCTTAAAATAACCAGAGTTAAATACATCTTCTTATAAGTAGATGGTATCAGTAATAAAACAAACTCCCAATAAATGAAACAGTCTTGCTAACTGTTTAGGATATTTTTACAAAAGAAAACCTATGATTTATATACTAAATTACCAATGACTGAAAGAAAGAGTCTCACATTTTTCATTTACCTACAGATAAGACAATGGAAATAAATGACTGCATTCTCTTGCTATCCAAGGAAAGCCCTCATTTAGCCAGGGCTTCATAGAATTTTCTCCTTGCTTTTAATTCAATGCTAATATCAGGTATAAAGCAGTCAGTTAACCGCCAATTTATTACTACTTGTACTACAGTTTCCATGTCGCTTCTATGGAAGAAATGTGTCTAGGAGTATATCAAACACTCATAAGTCTTTTTCAGCCAACATTTTAAGATTTGGGCAATGTTCAGGTTTTTCGTATTTCTATTTTGTTAAAATATAAAAAATGCCTAACATTTCTAAAATTTCTTCAAATCAAGCACAATATATACACTGGATACTATATAACATTTCGTACCCTCAATTCTTGCTCAAGGTTATCACTATGCTGCAACTTTCTTTAGTGAATTAGCACATGGGGGAATGGCTTTGCCACTGCAAAAATATATGAACTACTGGGGTTTGTCTTGGCCTGGAATTGTAAAACAAATTAATTCTATATTGTCTGGGTGAAAATTAAGGGAACATCAAAGGTACCGAGACATAAAGTAAATTTGTATATCATATGCCTTTCTCTAAGTTAAGAATATTTTGTTAATTTTCTTGGCTAAAAGTGAACACATAAAGTGCAACTAAATTAACATCTTTTATTGGGTATAAAAGGCACAATAAATTTATGTGTAAATTCAGATTCTAAAGTCTCAAGTTTGGCATAGCTAATATATTTGGCAATTAAAACACATACTTTATTGTTTTTTTGGTTGCAATTATTACTTCAGCTGGTATTCCCTAATATCTTGTTAAACTAATGAATGCTTTAAACATTTTGAAGCTTTACATGCAAATTAATAGCAAGAGAAGGCACTTGATTCAAGATGTAGAAAACACAGTAGGCCAACAAACCTTTAGCCATTTTACATGCAGGAAGTTGAGCATGTAAGAGAAATTTACCATAATGTTATCTCCTTCTAGGCGAGCTGAGTTTAGTTGCTTAAATACATAGGTAAGAGACAAAGAACACATTATACCAATGAACACAGTGAAACAAGTTATTTTGCACGATAAAGAACACACAAACAGGCATTAAAACAGCTAATAAAATCATTTTCTACTTAAAAAATAACTGTATTTGTTCTATGGAATTTCATATAGTGATGCTTATTCAATGTTTCCAAAAGATTCAAATTTTCGAAGACAAAAAACATGGTCGATGCCTGATTTTAAATGAGAATAATTTAGGGAAGATGCATCATTTTAGAAACTGCCACCATTATCTATGATTTTTATTAAATTTTCACCTATGAAAACCCTTCTGACTACCCACAGCTTTCCTATTCAAAGATCATTTCTATTTTATGAACATATGATGCCTTCAACCACATTCTCTTTCAATCAACCTCAGTCAGGTCTTAACATACCCTGAAGAAATATGAAAGGCATGTCAATCCTTATATTTTTAATAAACTTCAAATTCGCATATGTGTACCTTAAAGTTAAAGTTGTTTGCTAGTGCTATAAATTCATTCATTTTATAGATTAAAGATTTAGAGTGCTGTGGAAATGCTTAAGTGAGCAGAGGGACAGATTAGCTGTATTATGTTATTTGAAGACATATTTTCCATCACATTTGTGTACCCAAAAGTAACAGAGTTAGACATCTAAACCTCTAAATAGTAGAGAGATTTGAAACCAGGTGATTTTTACTTCCCATTAAGAACTCAAAAGTAATGAAAAAAACTTTATATAAGACTAAGCTTAGATTAATAAATGTCAGTGCCTTAAAATTTAAATGTAAAAGTTCTATTTGTCTGATACACATTTTATACTATTTTTTTCTTTAAAAAAGTTTTTTAAAAATGTACTGAGAGAGAGACATCTATTTGTTGTTCCACTTATTTATATATTCATTGGTTGATTCTTGTATGTGTTGTATGTGCCCTGACCAGGGATTGAACTCACAACTTTGGCGTATCTGGTAGATGCTCTAACCAACTGAGCTACTTGGCCAGGGCTAAATTTTGTACTATATTCAAAACTGTATTTTTGCTCATTGTGAAACATTCAAGCAGGTTTTCTCTTTCCTACTCAATTGGTATATTTCAGAAATGCCTTTGATGTTGCTTTATCATTCTTCATTAGTAATTAGTAACCATTAATTACTAATGCTAATAAAAACGTTAGTAGAGTAGCAATATTGGATACAAGCACAAATATTTTACGGATAGGGCTAAATCATCAAAATGTTCAATCTGTTATATGAAATTGTGTATCAAGAATGGCAGAGATTTTGCATTATTTATCTATGAATACACCTCCTCAGCCAAGTACATTGTACAAAATTAGCATTCAGTAAATATAAAATTTAAAAAGAGTCACAAGCCTGGCCAGTGGGCCCAATCCCCACTTGGGGGCATCCAGGAGGCGGCCAATCGATGTTCTCTCTCATTGATGTTTCTATCTCTCGCTCCTCTCCCTTCCTCTCTCTCTAAAAATCAATAAAGAAAAAAACATATATTTTTAAATAAAAAAATAAATAAAAATTAAAAAGAGGTCACCAGAGCCTGGCTGGTGTGGCTCAGTGGTTGAGTGTCGACCCAAGCACCAGGAGGTTGATGGGTCAATTCCCAGTCGGGGCATATGCCTTGGTTGTGGGCCCAATCCCCCCTGGGAGGCATGGAGGAGGCAACCAATGGATGTTCTCTCTCATCAGTGTTTCTCTCTTTCTCTAAAATCAATAAAATAAACAAACAAATAAATAAATAAAAAGAGGTCACGAGAAATTAGTAAATGAATTTTCAAAAAGTAATGATATGTACACATCTCAAACTTTACTTGCAAAATCCCAAAACAATCCATGGAAATTTATAAATAAGTGAAATCAAAGAAAGTCTGAGGTTAGAGTAACCTCTTCTGCTGCCAATTAGTAACCAGGAAATGTGTCAAAGAAGAAAACAATAAAGCAAACCCAAACTTCTGGTGGTTTCTATTTTTCTGTATTCTCTACGTAAATAAAAGAGAGATACAGAAAAAAAAACAAACACACACACAATAAAGGCATGCCTCCAGTTTTTACGTAATAACAAACTAAAAGGACTTTTCCTTTCCAAAGTATTTCAGACTTACTACTATAAAATTTGAAGAAAATGAGTTGGTTATCTAGGGGAAAAGAACACAACTAAAATCACAAAATGTAAATTTTTGTCTAAACAAAAATAATTGGCTACAGTTAAATTTTGTTTCATGCAATATATAAATCTAGAAAAGCTGTGTATAAATGACATTGTTGAATAAAATCATTTGTATATTTCATTTTAAATGCAAATTTTCATTAAAAAAATTTTTGTCCTTAACAATACACAGCACAGAAAAACTGATGAGATCTTCTATGGATATATCAAAAGGTAACATCTCTCAAAATTTGTCTCAATTATTTTTAGCTCTTATATAGTTAATAGCAGTGGTAAAGTAATTTAAAATAATCAATGAAACTTTTATACTGCTAAATCTATGAGCTTCCTAACACATTTCCAGGTAAAAATGTAGACTACCATTATCCTGTAATAGTACTTGTTAAAGGCAGTTTTGTACTGACACTTGACAACAGTATTTATTCCATGATCATCACTGGGCAATGTAGGCATTTTTTTTTTTATCCTCACCTGAGGACATTTTTCCATATTTTGTTCAGATAGAGTAGGAGGGAGAAAAAAGAGAGAAACATCGACGTGAAAAGGACACATCGAGTGGTTGTCACCTGCACAACCCAACCAGGGCCGGGGACAAACTGCAACCGAGGTACATGTAGGCATTTTGAATAAAGAGATTCTGTTCTAGTTCAAACATTTATTTCCAAATGATCCTTATTTATCTTAACTTTCTTTCCTGATTAGAAAATTAGTATCTTAAAAACCAATTTATATTTTACTATATAAATTTATTACTAGCAACTAGAAATGAATATCCCGAGTCTCTTGCTAACCACAGAGTTCATTTTTAAAGTTCTGATTCGGCAAAAAGCCTGTTTAAGAAAGTTAGGCTGTTCTTGATGATGTCAAGATAATTCTGAGGGAAAATTGACAGTGAATTTGGAATTAATGTCTTGTCAAAAACAGCTCTTTTTCTGCAGTAACAAACATAGAATCTCTAAAAGGGGAACCGTCTAAAAGAAAATAATTTATTTCACTCATACAAGGCATTAGGGTAATCTCATAAGGCATCACTGTCCAACACCAAGTTATCAGTTTTAAATTTCATTCATAACCAAGTTTCCACCTTTTCTTTCCCAAAACAAGAGACCTACAACAGACTTTCACCAGTATGGTGATAATATGCTCCTTAAGGCAATGATTTTTGATGGTGGTAGTGGTAGTGAGTTGGGAACAGAAGGCAGTGGAAATGTCAGGCTCTTAACAAAACATATCTCTTAGCTCAAATTAAAAATGAACTTATTAGCTTCCTCTAATAAATCCAAACTTGTTTATATTGTACTATCTTAAAGAAGTTCCAATTAAAATATGATTAATCTCTTCAAACTTTGGAATAAAGATTTAAACAATATAAATAATATAAATTGTTAACAATATAAATGTTAGATCAAATAAAAAGCTTATAAATAAAACCTTTAAAAAAAGTAATATATATATCAATGAATTACTATGTTTAATACATACCCACTCAGTATTACCTGAGGTTGTTTTTATGAAAAAGATACCAGAATTTATTTATCCAAATAGGTTTCCTCCCCTGCAAAATAGCCACCTGTCCGTCCATGCTGCCACTGTTTGAATGTTTTGGAACTATTCTTTGTGACAATTCCTTTAGTCAATTTGAGCCACATGTGGAAAGGGAGTCGTATCCACTTTTTAAGTCACACACAAGCATTCTCAAACATGATTCTTTCTCATCTTAATTACTATTTATTTTTCTATTTCAAATGTGATAAATCTATCTCCAAAAAACCTATTTGCCATCACTGGTGACTAAAGATTTTTAAATAACATAACACAGCTTGAGGAGCTCATTTTTTTTTTTTTTTTTTAGCAATAGGGGTATTACTGAAATAAGAGTATTGTCTATTGATATGACTACTTTACACTGATTTGGATGTATTAAGTTCTGATAGACAAAACAATACCCCCTAAAGTCATATTCTAGTCTTAATGACAGATTGTAGAATGCATAGTAGATAAGTAAAATATTTTGCAAGTCTGAAAGTTACTAATCTAATTTTTTTCCATTAAGAAACACTACTTACTGAAGCTCTAGTTTCTGCAGCTTTTGCCTTTTTTAGTCTGGTTTTTGCAGCATCCAAATCCAACCTCTTATTTTGTAGCAGTTTCCTTTCTTTCTATAAGTTTAGGAAAGAAAAACATAAAGGTTAATGATGTTAACCAGTAAGAGCATACTTTTAAAGCATTATTTTCCATTAAATATGTGAATCATCTGATAAACTGATATATCTATAATTACAAAATTGGCTATAATGTGACCATTTTGGGTATTTGACTTCCTTTTCTTACTGTTCGCAATTTAAAAATAACAGACATTCTAGATATCTGGGAAAGATGGCAGATGTTGATAGAAACAAGGGAATATGAGTTTTAATATTTTGGGATTTTGCTCCATAGGGAACATTCCTTGGTTATCACAGCTAGGGGAGGAATATTACCAGCATCCACTGGGTAGAAGCCAGAGACACTGCTAAACATCCCACAATGCAATATAGCTTCCACAAGAAAGATTTATTTGGCCCAAAATGTCAGTAGTTTCCAGGATGACAAAATTTTCAAATTGTTACTGTTTATCTAGAAAGTGCCTATTATGAAGGAAGTATGGGCCTAGGGTAAAGCTGCTTGAGAGAGAGGAAGTGAGAGGGAGAGAAAGATAGGAATGTCGATGAGCAAGAACACTGATTGGCCGCCTCCTGCATGCCCTCCACTGGGGATTTGGCTCACAACCTGGGCATGTGCCATGTCTGGGAAGCAAACTGGCGATATCATGGTACATGGGTTGACACTCAGCCGCTGGGTCAGATTTCATATATTAAATTCCACCTTATTGACAATCTATTATCTTTTAAAACATATTTCAACTTGGTGACTTTTCCATTGTCGCAGATTAAATACTTTTACCCAGAGACAAATTCATTGTAAACATATTTTCCGTAATATTTTATAATAAGAAATCTTCAAATTAAATTTTGACATAGTATTTAAAATACAGCAGTATTGCAATAATCTCAGAAAAATATATCCACCTAAATTTCCATTGTCCATCACTTAAATTACAAATTAAATGAAAAATAACAGACGAATAGATTAGGTTTGGGAAAGTGATTATTTCTTTCTTATACATCAGCAATAAAACACAACTATGTGAAAAGAAAATAAGACTTCTAAGGATGCAAAAAGGAAGTCTAGTAGCCAGAAATATAGATTCTAATAATTAGGGTTCTGGCTCCCAGTTTAAATTAATAGTTACATGGCTATACTATGGTGATATTTTGTGCCATATTTTTATAATCATTCCAGGAACCTCTGTCTACAGATTTTAGTGCTGGTAATAAGTAAGAATGGATTTAAGGGTATCTCAATAACACTACAGGGATACAAAAGTGGAATCCATATCACAAATAGTTCTTTATTTTGGTTAGTTTTATGTTCTGTTGAATATATACCTATCTAGATTATTTAAAATTTCTAATCTTTGTGATATTTACACAGTTGGGAAGATGGCAAATTATTCATTAAAAACTGTAAATATATATCTAAATATTTTATTAAAAAATGGAAACACTTTTCAACTCACAGCAATTGTTTTGTAATCTCCTTCTATAAAGTTTCTTAATGGAGTGAGAAAATTTAAAGCTGATGTCTGAATCAGTTCTCTGTCTGCGGTTCCAATTCGTTTTTGTGTTTCTCCACATTTAATAAGAGCATTACCTGAAAAGAAAAAAACGTGTTTTTTTTTTAAATCACTGTCTGGTAATGTCAGAAAACAGAAACATGTTAAGATAAATCAGCAATTTGATCTGTCTCATAGTTGTCATTTGTCTACTTAAGTAAAAATCAAATAGAATTAACTGTAGTTAAGGCCGTTTTATTTAAAAAGTAGTAAGATTATAAATATCTAAATAAAAATGACGAAGATAAACTCCTTATCATATCATACTAATTCTACCAAAGGGACAAAAGAGGATACACTAAAATGTATGTACAGTAACAGTTCAAATAGTGTAGATATGTTTAGAAAAGTATAATGCTTAAAATATTTTAATAAGTAGATCAAGTAAAAATTTGACTTCTGTTTCTATATTTATGCACTTATATCAGGAATCTATAAATAACAGTATATATTTGTATTTTAAGTTAAAGAAAAAAAATCCATGTTTTGATAGAAAAGCACTATGGAAAATAGAGTGAAAGAAAAGGGAACCACAAGACCAAGATTCTACTCCCAGTTCTATCTCTAATAAGCTTTAATTCTGTGGATCTTAATTCCTTCATGTTAGGATGAGATTAGATTTGACTGGTAAGGAAGTTAGTAATATAACAGTAATTAAGAGCTCAATTTCTGGATACAGATTTACATTTAAATTACTAGCTGTGTGATCATGGATGAATTATGTAACCTCTCTAAGACTCAATTTCCTTTCTTTAAAATGGAGAAAGAATTTATATAAGTAGGATATAAAGTGAGGACTTAATGAAATAATACAGTATTCCAATGCCTGGAATACTCAATTGTTAACTATTATCAATTAATAATATAGATTTACAAAGCCCAATTCCAATAATCAGGGTACATTCAATGGAATTATTAGAGATGCAAACAGATTAAGTGAATTAAAAAAGAAAAATATAACAGAAGCATTTCAAATGATCATGCTCCACTAGGCCTTCAATTTGGTGAAGGAAAGCGTTGGGTCTCCTTCTTATACCTTTATGACTCCAGCATCTAACTATATCAGGCACAAGCAGGCAATAAAAAAATCTGTTTAACGTATAAAGTTTTTCTAAAATGTAGAAATAAAACTATAAAAATTTAAAGTATTTCCCAACTTCTGAAAACAATTATAGTTTGAAGAACACAATGTAAAAAATTTAAAATTGTACATCTAGATGGATTAAATGCACTCATTACACAGTAGTTAGGTTATTTCCTTCTGACATAAAGACACCTTTAAGTTCATTTAGTTCCAGAATTTATGAGCTATTTCATAAATCAGGACTATATGTAAAAAAGCATTTAATTTACCTATCATTTCATATCCATTTAAGAACCAATTTCTTGCAGAAGTCTTAATAAAGAGAATTATTAGACATGAACAATAGGAAAAAAGCTATAGCAACCCCAAATAGTCTTATGTTCTGAGAAAATTAGATTTGAAGGACAATGGTGTATAATGTTGAGCTTCAGAGTTATACAATAAAAAAGTGAGTACAACAGCTAACAAAGCTAGAGAAACTATAAAACATAATTATAAAAAAATTAAACTATATGAAGAAAACAGAAATAAAAAGCAATCCAAATATCCAGAGATAACCATTGTTAACATTTCTGTATTAATGACATTATGTATACTAATGAAAGCACTAGTGATTTGTTCAAACACTTATTATGTGCCAGATACTTTTCTACAGAAATAAATAAGCCGCCAAGAAAGCTTAAAAAGAAAAAAAATAGAGAAGACATGTAAACAAAAACTGCAATATATCATAAGTACCACAACAGATGAGGGTACAAGTGAAGAATTCATTCAAGTTTTTAAACCTAGAAAGATCATATCAAAATCTCACAACAATATAGGCTTAAATAAATTATTAAATTGAACAGTACATATTTATTTGTAACTGATAATTCTTACTTCATCCAAAATTTTAACATAAAAATTTGAAGTTAAAAGTGATTACACTAATATTAGGTAAATGTTAATACTGTCTCTAAGTAGTTAAAATCTAAAAGTAAAGGTATTTGTTAATATGTAGATCTTTTGCCTCTTGCTTACCATAAGCTGTTCCTGGGCCAAACTCAGTTCCTGCATCAATCATATATTGTCCCAAAAGTTCTGGGTTGTTTATACGACTTGGAGCTTTTCTATCCAATTTCTCATAAACAAATTCTTCTATCCTGGCATCTACAAAAAAAGTTTAAAATTAAAATAGCAAAACTATTTTTTATTTTACTTTTTAATATGTTTTATTGATTTTAGAGAGGGAGGGAGAGGGAGAGGGAAAGGAAGAAAAACATTGATGTGAGAGAAAACCATCAATGGGCTGCCTGCCTCCTGCTCACCTCATACTGGAGATTGAGCCAGAAACCTGGGCATATGCTCTGACCAGGAATCGAACTGCCATGGGACAACCCTCAACCAACTGTGCCACACTGGCCAGTGCATAAAACTATTTAATAGAATTTTTTGTTCCACTACCAGCCATTTATCACCTTGTAAAAATTAACATAAAATTAGCATGTTTCCAAGTACTTTTCTTAATATATAATTTTTAATTTATATGTTAGAAAATTATAAAGCTCTAAGAAACTATTTTAAAAATATGAAAAACGTTTTAGAAAAAAAATATTTTAAAATAAAGTAAAACTATTACAAGAGTATTTTATGTGATTCTAAGTTCCCCGAAATGGCTGGTATTCACTTTAAAGTTAGTGAAATTGCATTTGCCCCATTCATATCATGTCTAACTTTTAACTTTGAATATATGTTTTTAATTTTAAAAGCAGGGATTTCCAACTATGAAAATAAGGATATAAAGTACCTAGAAGAACCAGAGTCACATACTTCTGTCATCTTTTTTGGCCTTTTGCTTGCTCAAAAGCTTTCTCTCCCTCTTAATAGTTTAAATATAGGCATAGTGGTTTAAGAATAGAGTAATCCAGGCTTGGAACAGTCTACAGACAGAGATCAGCAATATGATGCCTTGGCTTACTTTTTAATGATATTTAATTATATTAAAGTATATAGATACCTCTGAGTATATATTCACTCAAAAGATTCCACCATTAAAAATAAGATTAAAACACAAGACAAAAATTTAGAGACAATTATACAACATTAGTATAGATGGAAAGAAAAGAAAAATGAATAAACATTTTAGTGTAATATTCAAGAAACTCACATTTACATTGCTATCTAACAGTGAGGTATTTCAGAGACAAATGAGAAAAAGTCCAAATTTCCAGAAACAATAATTAAATATAAATTAAAATTATAATCCAAAAAGAAGTTAAATATGTTCCCTTCAAAAAAGAAGTTAAATGTGTTCCCTTTAAGGGAACATAACTCCTCCAGTGGAAGTTCTATACAGTGCACTGAAATTTCAAAAATGAGCTGAACCAACACAGAAATACTTCAGGAGATGGCAAAAGTGTTAATTATAGAAACATAAAATAGGCTGTTGGTATAATACTTGCTTTTGTGGTAGACAATGGTGCAGCATCAGAAGAGTTTTTAGGCAGGGATTTAATAACCATTAAATTAGTTAAAACCAAAATGAGTCAGTTTAAAACTAATCATTTAGATGATGTTACCTAAATTTCAGAATCTCACTTTATGACTATGAGAGTAATTCTTAGCTTTGTTGCTTTCTACCTATTTGGTCAAAAGTATAAATCCCATGTTGATTTCATTCAGTTAATAAAACATTTGATATATTTTAAATAAATGTTTCATTTCAATAAGTCTTAAAAAATATGTAGGCAACTCCGCTATAATTCAATAAACATTTCTGAAAAACCCTATATTCTGAAAAATCATACACTAAAAATGACAGGGCTTACAGGAAAAGAGTTGTGTTTGACCATTCACAATCTAAGTAACTTTATAACCAGAGCACAAACAAAAAGCAAAAAGAATTCTGTTACTACTTCTGATTTAGAACCCTAATATAAAATTGTATTTATTAGCCATTATAACTTCTTTATATTAACATCATTACCATTTACCAGCTGTACACAACTGTATTTGCCATTCTGGAAAATATGTTTTAGAACAGACTATGTACATGGGGAACTCTGGATAGAGCAAGGAAGAAGAGAAAAAATGTCTACTACTTTTTTTTTAGATGGATAATTTAGGTATATAATTTAAGTAACCTTAAAAGAATAACAAATGTCACATGTATCCAAAAATGAGGCCTCAAAGTATAAAAGGCATAGTTTAGAAAGTCACTGCAATTTAAATAAAACAGCAAAGAATTACTAATAATTTGTGTAGTGCTAGAGTTTTATGTAATAGCAACAAAGTTGGAATTTTAAGTATCTAAAAGTAAGTTTATGGCACTCACAACACGGTCACAACAACAGGAAAAGGGGAAGGAAAGCATGCACTGCTGCCTTTGTCCTTCAGTTTTAATATATAAAGCTGGCAGTGAAAAGACTGGGTGTCAATACACTTGGTTCTAGTTCAAGTTCAAGTTCCCCTTCTAATTAGCTATGCTACATTGGACAAAATGCTAACTTGTGAGTTTCAATGAATAAACAATTATTATACACCTTATTTACAAGGTTATTTAGTTGAGTGATCTGCTTAGAATTGTCAAAAAATCAAATGGAATAATTTATGTAAAAACATAAAACTTAACATGAACATAAATAATTGGTAACGAAATAACTTTTCACCTTAATTATTTAGGGACAATTCTCCCCTGGATGAAAGAGGAAGATTAATTTAATTTATTTTCATAGCCCTTCATAACTCTTAAAATTCAGTCACAGCACGAAATTGAGTTTTCATGAGGATTCTACAAAAGCCCAAAAAGTTATTTGTCAGTTTATTAGGGGATACAAAAAGATGTGTTTATCACCCTCTTCTTCACCGAAATTGTATTTAATAACCACAAACCTCAAAGCCACAAACCAAAAAATTCTGTTTTCCAATAGTAATTAAACTTTTTTTAAAACATTAAAAACCCTAACAAGAAACTTTTAATAAGGTTAGTCAGTCAATAAGTCAGACATAAAGTTTCTTACTTGGATTTGGCTGCAATAACACTTCAGTTTGTTTCATTATTTTCTCTGTCCATATTTTGGTACATTCAGCTTTGCTAAGGAGGTTCTCTAAGTGAGCGTCCAATTCTGTCTTCTCTGCCTGGCCAAGCTTTTCTTCTGTGAACTGTTATTGATTATTAAAAAAAAATTTAAATATACCTCAAATACATTTTAGGAATCTATATCAATAATTAAAAACAAAACTCAAATCCAAACAATCCCAAACATACAAACAATTGTTTGTAAACCACTGCATATGAATGCTGCATTTTTTGCCCCTATGGTAATTTTGCCCTTATCTAGACCTCTTTTGTAGCACTTTTTATGATTCTATCTTATAGTTAATACATTCTTAGTTCTGCTAAAATGTATGGTGTGAATTCTGTAGAAAATTTAGCACACTGTCTGGTATATAAAGTATATAAATATTTTTGACTTATAAAGATAGGATAGCATAGTGCCAAGGAGTAAGAGCTCTGAGTCAGTTGGATATGAATTCATATCCTGACTGCAATGTTAACTGTGTGACCTGAGTAAGCTTTTGAATATTTTTTTCTTAGGTATCCTCTATCATAAAAGAGAGCCAATATATATCTTACAGTACTTTGAGAATTAATTAAGAGTATATATGTAAATCACTTTGTTCAGTGCTTGATAATTATTATTTTGAATTTAAAAAGGGCTGTTTATGTTTAATGTGGCATTGTATTACTGGCACTTTAATCACACCTAGTTAGATAGGCTTTTATGAGATGTTCTGGGAAACTATCATTTAAGTTGTTTCTTCAGGATATGTTCCAGCAATTGATTTATGACTAACTTTTGGAATACATCCTATTCATACTAGGATGAAGGCTCTTTTTTTTTTTTTAATCCTCGCCCGAGGACATTTTTTGACATTTTGTTCAGATAGAGTAGGAGGGAAAGAGAGAGAGAGAAACATCGACGTGAAAGGGACACATCGAGTGTTGCCACCCGCAAGACCCAACCAGGGCTGGGGACAAACTGCAACTGAGGTATGCGCCCCTAGTGGAACCGAACCCGGGTCTCTCCAGACCGTAGGCCAATGCTTTAACCGCTGAGCCAAACTGGCCAGGGCTACGAAGGCTCTTTTAAAGGTCATAAAATGTAGTTAAATGCACTCAATGTAGCCTGGCCAGTGTGGCTCAGTAGTTGAGCGTCAACCCATTCACTAAGAGTCTCTGGTTCAATTCCCAGTCAGGGCACATGCCCAGGTGTGGGTCCAATCCCCAGTGGGGGGCATGCAGGAGGCAGCCAATTAATGTTTTTTCTCATCAATGTTTCTCTCTCTCTCTCCCTCTGTCTGTAAACTCAATAAACAATAAAAACAAACTATATATATATACACATACATATATTCAACCTATATTATCTTGTGTTGGTTTTTGAGGAAAGGCAGCATTGCCCATACAGTAACAAAGAAGTAAAAATATTTCCGTGTAGATTTTATGGAGACTTCTGGATACTTTTAATTAAATACTAGGAGTGATGACTCAGGCTGCTTATCATGCATGTTTTTCTAGAATATGTGGCTTTTACCCATCATAACACAGGTATATCACTAGCACTAATGCTTATTAGTCAATACTCATTTCTGGCTAACAAAATGTAATGTTTACCTTGCCCTTTCTCCCCTCTCATTTCTTAAAATATCTTCTGCTGCTCTACTTTTCTGAGTTTTATTATGTTTCCTCCAGCATTCTTGTTTTTGGTCTAATACTTTCAACTGATTATCACTTAGCACTTTTAGCCGAAAGGTTATCCAGAATAACAACCAAAAGTCTATTTTTAGACTTCTGGTTACAACCCCCACCAAAGGTCTTGTTCAGGAGCTAGAAATAACAGCTTTAATAGTTTTTGTAAAGTCTTAGGTCTTACTGAGACTGGCCTTAGCCGAGCCCTGACCCAATGGGTGGAACTGAGAAAAGCAGTTCCAAAGCTACTGCTTAAGCCCATAAACTTGAGTGCACTATAACTGAACATAGGAGAGGCACTGGGCAAAAGATCAAAACCTCGATCCCAAGGTCAGTTGGGTAACTATGCAATCTCAATCTCAAGAGAGACCTCTGGTCTTCCCTTCAGATCCCTGAGATTTTAAGCAATAGACCTACTGTAGAGGTATAGATTAGAATTGTACTTGTTTTGAAGTCTGTCTCCAATAGTTAGATCATCTCCCAAATAAAGCAATACACCCAGGTGGACATTATCTATAAAGAATGGTCTACCAGTAGAGCAAAATTCTTCACTTAGCACCTTAAAAAGCAAATGTATCTATTTGTTCACTGCATTCATTCCTTCAACAAATAATATTTATTAAGCATCTACATATGTACTAGGCACTATTATAAGCACATTGGTTTCAGCAGCCAAAAAACACAAGGTTTCTGCTCTTAGGAAGCTTACATTATAATGGGGAAGACAGACAATAAATAAGTAAATACTTTGATAATAAGGATACAAAGATAAAAAGAAGGTGGAAAGAGGAACAACATAGGTGGTCCTATTGTTTCTTGAGTGAATTACTAAGTGATTAACTGCTTGAACTAATGAAGTCAGGTGTAGAGGACAGAAGAATTCATTCCACACAGAGAGGCTGTGGTACAGCAGAATATGAAGGCTTCAAAGGTGGAAGGATATGCAAAGCTGGGTCTGGAAGAGAGCAGGAGTTTGAAGATTGCCAGATGAGAGCAGTAAGAAAATAGCCTCTCTGAGCAGGTAACAATTAACCTGAGATGCAATGGTAAGAAATGAGCTATGTAAAGATTCAAGGGAAGAGTACAGAGTCCTCTGATGATTTATCTTCCTCTTGCATTTCTGGAGGATCATCAGCACCACTTTTAACCATGCTAAATACTACTTTTTGATGGAAATTTATATTTTATATTAATTTATATTTTAAAACCAAGAACAGATTAATACAACAATAAATAGATTAATAATTTAAAAATCAGTATGTATCAGGTCAGTCTTCCTGCAAGGCACTCTAAGAACTAGAAGACATGGTCTCTGTTACAGGAGAGCTAAATGAAAAATATTATCCAAATAGTATAAACCTGCAGGCCTTCTTTTTTCAGTACATAAAATCGTGTAAACTTTAATAGTTGTTTTATAGAAACACACTGGAATTAAATAAATAGGCTAGAACTTACTAAAAAATGTTCATAAATAGTGATTTAAGAACTAGTCTTTGAGTTTATCTGATAATGATTAGGTTTCAGGGCAAGTTTTTTCCCCAATAATATTACAGAGAACCAACAATTAGAAAGTTAATTATCGGGAAAACAAAACATTTCAATCTTCAGGTCAAAAGGTTTGTTTGTTTAATTATTTAATATTTTCTTTGTCATTCTCATGACACTACCTTACAGGCATCTCTCATTAAATATACTTTTTTTTTAGTGTAAAAGTGTAATAGAGCAAAGATGAGTATTTGTAACAAGTCATTTATTTGTATGAGTCTGACTTACAAAGTAAGATTATACAAACATAGTGAGCAGATTTTTTACTATTTCAGTTCAGAAGGGTAAAAAACAATAAATAAAACAAAAACTAAAAACAGTATAAGGAATGCTTAAGGTATGAGTAAGATAGAGTCTGATTACAGAAAACCTGTTTATAAAAAAGCAATTTTGTAGAGGCCCACATGAGCAATGTATTTAAGTAACAGTAGTAAAACTCTCTCTGATGTTTATTTATTTGCTTTTTTTTTTTTACTCTAACTACATCTGCTTCATATTTCAGTACATTATATGTGGTCATTTATCATCTAATTTGTTTAAAAATAATTTTTTTTTCTCAAGATCATTTACAAGACCCTTTTTATATTTCTGTATTCTTAACAGGGTTAGGGCTTTCGTATATGTTAGAAAATGCCACATACTAAGCTGTGCATTTTATATCAAATACTCTAAACATCATTATATAAGTGAGAATCATAATTTCAGTGATGAAATTGAGGATCAGAACTATGTAACATTATGCCAAGGTGCCAGTGTTGACATTCAATCTTACATCTGTTTGAATCATAATTACATTATACTACCTTTACAATAAGTACTTGCTATAAAAAACAGTTAATTCTTTAAATTAATACTTTCTATCACCATTATCCAAACATATTCTGTGCTTCCCCTGCCCCTGTGTCTTTCACAGCACTCTGGTCAGCTGAATCCTACAGTTTACCTCTGCTTCCTACATGATTGTCAATAATCAAATTACGGGTAACCTTCATCTTATGCAGAATAAACAAACAAACAAAAAGGGTAGAATGAAAAGGGAACTCACCGTATGGAAAAACATATTTGCCAATGACACACTGGATAAGGGGTTTACTTTCCTAAATATATAGAGTACTCAATACTACTCAACAACAGGAAGACAAACAATCCAATTAAAAAATGGGCAGAGCCCGGCCACTGTGGCTCAGTGGTTGAGCATTGACCCATGTGATCACCAGTTCGATTCCCGGTCAGGGCACATGCCCAGGTTGTGGGCCAAATCCCCAGTGGGGGACATGCAGGAGGCAGCCAATCGATGTTCTCTCTCACTGATGTTTCTATCTCTCTCCCTCTCCCTTCCTCTCTCTCTAAAATCAATAAAGAAAAAAATTTTTTTTTTTAAATGGGCAGAGGACCTGAATAGACACTTCTCCAAACAGGACATACAAATGGCCCAGAGACATATGAAAAAAATGCTCAACGCCACTAATCATCAGAGAGATGCAAATTAAAACAACTATGAGGTATCACCTCATACCTGCAAGAATGGCTACCATCAACAAATCATCAAACAAGTGCTTGTGAGGATGTGGAGAGAAGGATATTCTAGTACACTGATGGTGGCAATGCAAACTGGTACAGCCACTATGGAAAACACTATGGTGTTTCCTAGAAAAATTCAAAATAAAACTGCCATTTGACCCAGTGATCCCACTTCTAGGAATATATCCTAAGAAACCTGAAACAACAATCAGAAAGAATATACGCACCCTTATGTTCATAGCAGCGCTATTTACAAAAGCTAAGATCTGGAAACAGCCTAAGAGTCCATCAGTAGATGAGTGCATAAAAAAGCTGTGGTACATTTACACAATGGAATACTATG